CAAAAATTAGCCAGGTATGGTGTTGGGCACCTGTAATCCCAGCTATTCGAGAGACTGAGGCAGAAGAATCACTTGAACCTGGGAGGTGGAGGTTGCAGTGAGCCAAAATCATGTCATCTCACTCCAGCCTGGGCAACAGAGAGATACTCTGTCTTTAAAAAATAATAATAAAATAAAATAAAAAAATATTCTTTCTAAAGAGGGGCTTATGTATTTGTTTTTCTTCCATGCTGATACTCTTTTTTCCTATGGTCTCTGGAGAATGTGCTCCCTAACTTTGGGAAAAAAAGAAAAGATAACAGAAATGTTGTCCACCAATCTGTCCCCATCCCACCACCTCATCACACACACCTGACAGGTGCTTTGCAAAGACTTCTCTCAGCAAAAGCCACACTACCATGGTGGAAATGAAGATCTCAGTAGCACTTAACGGAGGCATCCATGAGGATTAACTCAGCATGTCCTGGATGATGGAACAGGGATCACAATGGTTTTTTTTTGAGACAGAGTCTCACTCTGTCACCCTAGATGAAGTGGAGTGGTGAGATCTCAGCTCACTGCAACCTCTGCCCCAGGCTCAAGCAATTCTCCTGCCTCAGCCTCCTGAGTAGCTGGGATTATAGGCACCCGCCACCATGCCTGGCTAATTTTTGTATTTTTAGTAGAAATGGAGTTCACCATGTTGGCCACGCTGGTCACAAACTCCTGACCTCAGGTGATCCACCTGCCTCAGCTTCCCAAAGTGCTAGGATTACAGGAGTGAGCCACTGCACCCACCCCATATTCTGCTCATTTTTTTTTCTTTAATTTAGGGACCTACTGTAGCTGGAAGAGAGGAAGTGACTGCAGAAGAATACGTGGTCATTACCTAATTGTTATTAGACAGTGGTCAACTGGGACCTGCCTGAGGTCTCCTCACCCATACCCCAGTCTTTCTGTCTGGATAGCCCATCCTCTGGAGACTCCTGTGGCCTGACCTCCTCCCACCTGGGCCATCCACCTTACCTAAGGAGGACTAGACTTCCCTGCAAGCAGGGCCAGTGAGCAGCTTGCAGATGCTGTGTGAATTTGTTTGATGTTGCCATGGTACTGAGGCCACAAAAATTGTTGGGAAGGTTGATTCTGGTTTAAGGCCGTGATGAGATGCAAAGAATTAAAAACAGCCAGCTGCATCTGTCATTATACAAGGCTAATTTCCTCCAGTGAGTGGCTAGGGAGCTCACTTCCAGAATACACAGAGAATTTCCTTATGCAACAAGAAAAAGACTCTATTCTTTGAAAGGGAAGGAATTGCAACTGTGTTTCCGTGTGTGCGTGTGTGTGTGTGTGTGTGTGTATGTGTGTTTGTTTGTTTGTTTGTTTTGAGACAGGGTCTCACTCTCATGCTGGAGTATAGTGGCACCATCATAGCTCACTGCAGCCTTGATCTCCCAGGCTGAAGTGATCTTCTCACCCTAGCCTCCTGTGTAGCTGGGACTACAGGCAGGTGTCACCATGCCTAGCTAATTTTTTTTTTTTTTTTTAACTTTTGATAGAGATGAGTCTCACTATGTTGCCCAGGCTGTTCTCAAACTCCCACCTCCACCTCCCAAAATGTTGGTATTACAGGCATAAGCCACCACACCCAGTAGAGACAGTCTCACTCTGTTGCTCAGCCTGGAGTGCAATAGTGTTATTATAGCTCACTGTAACCTTGAACTCCGGTCAAGTGAGCCTCCTGCCTCAGCCTTCAAAGGTAGCTAGGACTGCACACATGTGCTACCACACTTCACTAATTTTTTAAATTTTTAATTTTTTTTTTTTTTTTTTTTTTTGAGAAGGAGTCTCATTCAGTCACCCAGGCTAAAGTGCAGTGGCGAGATCTCAGCTCACTGCAAACTCTACCTCCCAGGTTCAAGCGATTCTCTTGCATCAGTCTCCCAAGTAGCTGGGACTACAGACGCATGCCACCATATCCGGCTAATTTTTGTATTTTTAGTAGAAATGGGATTTCACCATATTGGCCAGGCTGTTCTCAAACTCCTGATCTCATGATTTTTGCCCACCTTGGCCTCCCAAAGTGCTGGGATTACAGGTGTGAGCCACCGCGCTTGGTCACTTTTTTTTTTAGTAGAGACAAGCTGTCATAATTTTGGCCAAGCTTGTCTTGAACTCCTGACCTCAAGCAATCCTCCCTCCTCAGCCTTCCAAAGTGCTGAGATTAGAGGCTGGGATTACACTGTGCCCAGCCACGAGTTTTGAAGTAGTATACGTGAATTCACATCAGTTATTACATTGAGCTTTTCCAGGGGGCAAGGAACAAAGTTAGACAGAGATTTGTTGGCTCAGGGATTTGTTGTAAGGACATGCAAGCAAGTAGGGAGACAGAGCACAATGGCATCTGCAGCTAAATCAAGCAATGTAGAGAATGAATCATTGTTTGGGGCCTGGAGGTTATTCGGGCTGTCATCTTGCCGAGCTGTGCGCCCCCAGTACTAGGTGGCTGGGTCCCCTTCTGTGTGCTCTGCCATTGTGCTGGGCCAGCCCTTGGTTTCTGTGGGAAGCAGAAAAGTTCCTTTTTAAACTTTCCTTTCTTGTTAAAGAATAAATCGCAAGTGTGCTAATAACTTTGTTAAGCCCTATCCTATATGGCTGTTAGACATCCCATGCTTACAGGCACGCAGTACATTCTATGTCCTTGTACTTTAACCAAGATACCTGTGCTGTACATGCTCACAGGCATGTCCCAGCTCTACATTGCTTTTACCTGTTTAGAAAAGTTTTAAGTTGTTAGCCAATTGGGTTTTAGATTGTGAGGTCTGGCTCCAGTCAATGGAGATCAGACATAGCAGTAAGGATGACCCCAAATGCATAAGGGATAAATATGTCTGCTTTTCCTCTGTTTGTTTTACTCTCATGGCAAGATGGCTAGTAAGAGTACCCTTCCTGCAGTCCAGGAAGTAAAAATTGAGTTGCTAAAAGATCCTTTGTCTCAGTGCTAATTTTTCTTTGTGGCACTGAGCATCTATTTCCATCAGTTTCTACAGCTGTTTGTCTTTCTCTCCTAACTTATGACTTCCACTGCCTCCTGGCTCCTATCACCTGATGACTTCTGCTTACTGATTTCTGCTTGCCTTCTGGTTTTCTATGTGTGTCTGTCTCACATTTAAACTCCCAAACAGGTCAGGTGCAGTGGCTCACACTTGTATTCCCAGCACTCTGAGAGGCCAAGGAGGAAGGATCACTTGAGGCCAGGAATTCAAGACCACCCTGGCCAACATGGTGAAAGCCTCATCTCTACTAAAAATACAAAAATTAGCCAAGCATGGTGGCATTGGCAAATGCCTGTAATAACAATTACTTGGGAGGCTGAGGCATGAGAATCGCCTGAACCAGGAAGCAGAGGCTTCAGTGGGCAGACTGTGCCACTGCCCTCCAGCCTGAGTGACAAAGTGAGACTCCGTCTCAAAGAAACAAACAAAGAAAAACTCCCAAAGAAAGAGGACCTCATTGCTTCAATCAGTCACAACCGTTCTGGTCATCAGACCACTCACACCAGGCCAGCTCCTGGTTCTACTGGTCAGCATACATATTAGCTGTGCTGCCAAAAGGGGCCCACACCTGTTGATCCAGTCAGCTCAGGTCAGAACAATTCTCTGATCCAATCAGTTTTAGTCCAAAAAGTGTTCATTTATGGGTCCATGTAAATGTGGATTTTTTTCCCATCTCTGCCACCCCTGAGACAGCAAGAACAACCCTTCCCCTTCCTCCTCTCCTCAGCTTACTCAATGTGAACATGATGAGAATGAAGACCTTGATGATGATCTACTGCCACTTAATGAATAGTAAATATATTTCCTCTTTCTTAAAAAACAGTGTTCACATGGTACGAATGTAGCAGATACTTCCAGCGTACCAGCCTCCTCTTCAACACAACTATGATTTTGAACAGTGTTTAAAATATCAATAAATATTTATTTGTATATGAAAACAGGAAAAGGATAAACTAAAGCCACGGGGGTTGTGTTAGGGTGAAGGGATCACAGGTAATGACTTTTCTCCATTTTGCAAATTTCCTTTAATGATACTGTCATTGCCTTTTTTTTTTTTTTTTTTTGACACAGAGTCTTGCTCTGTCGCCAGGCTGGAGTGCAAGTGGAGCCATCTGGGCTCACTGAAACCTCTGCCTCCTAGGTTCAAGCAATTTTCCTGCCTCAGCCTCCTGAGTAGCTGAGACTACAGGTGCGTGCTACCACGCCCAGCTAATTTTTGTATTTTTAGTAGATACCGGGTTTCACCATGTTGGCCAGGATGGTCTCGATCTCTTGACCTGGTTATCAGCCGGCCTCAGCCTCCCAAAATGTGGGCAAAGATGAAGGCTGTAATTGTGGTAGCTTGTGAAAGCACTTTGAAGGTACAAGTGTCTGTTATTACTCTGAAAACTCCTTTTAAACGGTTATAATAGCATATGCCACATGAGCAAAGCATGGAACATTATAACTATGCTTGCTTGTGGAAAGACATCCCTTGTCCACAGGCCAAGTGTTTGAAAATACCACCCACTGCATACAGCTCCAGGGCCCCCGAGAGAAGCTACCATGGCAGCTTCAGGAAACCAGCTTCCCCAGCTTCACTTTGATCTTCCTCTGCCTACACTCTTGCTTCAGTTCCTCTGCCACAGACATACAATTACCAAGTATTATTATTGCTTGATAATAACTATAATTACTACAAGGAATGCCTGAGATGGAAAAGACAGGTGAAATCGAACTTTCACATGGACTGGCGTCTGAGCTGGAGAGTCTGTTTGAGTTTGAGTCGAGGAAAGCCTGAAACCCCCCACCACCCACTCCCGTCGGGCCCTGCATTAACTGGGGGCGAACAAGGACCCGACCCACCAACCTGGAGGCTTGAAAACTTAAGGGCCAAGGTGCCCGGTCCAGCGATTCGGAAACCGAGATGCAAAGTCCTCCCTCCTTCCTAGAAAGGACCCGGAAGCGCGGCGCGGTCCCGGAAGGCGAGGTGCTGACACACTTCCGGCCTTTGTGACTCATTGTGTCTGTGTCGAGGCGTCGGGAGGGCCTAAGTCCGTGTGCGGTGCCCTTCGGCCGGCCTGAGCCCCAGAGCCAGCTCCCCTTTCTCGCCCAGCGCCCCCAGGCCGCTCCCGGGGCTCACGGTGAGACTTGGGGCCGGCCTCTGGGGTGGGCGGGCGAGGCCGCAGGGGTGTGTGCGCGAGGGTGGGCTCCGCATCTGCAACCCTGGGACCCCCTCCAGGCGGCCCGGGTGTTGTGCGAAGAGAGTCCATGCCCCTGCCTCCTGACCGGGCCCGGCCGCAGGAAGCGTCGTCTTCCTTGGGAGACATGTCCGCCCCACCTCCGGGACCAGGCGGGGAGGGGACGAGGGTTTCAGTGGCCGGGGGTGCCCGGAGACGTGGGGAGAAGTTAAATGCGGGCCCCTCTCCGGCAGTGTCGTCATCGCCCTTGGACGTTTCTGCAAACGGGGTCGTGAGGGAACCGACCCCTGTCTTGATTTTTCTGCTCTCCCTTCGTCGCCATTTGCTTTGATTCCGGTGAGGCGTTTCTTCCCTCCGGGTCCTTCGAGACCTCGAGGTGAAATGAGCGGAAGGCTGAGAGATGACACATTTTGAGGTGCCGCATTCGTTTCGAGACCTGGTTTTCCTTCTCCCACCCCCACCACTGAGCGGTGATTAAGGAGTATTTGAAGCCTAGTCATAGTGGATAAAGAAGTGATTGGTATCTAGTAGAGATTATATACACCCCACTCTGTTTCAGCATGATGGAATGTTTTGAAGGCTTTGTAAAAGAGCTGTCCGGGACGTGAGGAGGATTTTTTTCAATTCTGGATAGTTGCTCTGTTTGACATGGAGTGGGAGAGAAGTGAAGGGAATTTGGAAATTTCACGGTGTCACTGGGAGGCTGATTAGCTGAGTGACCTTGGATAAGACAAGACACTCACCAAGTCTTAATTTCGTCATCAACAAAACTAACTGGATTTTCCCCAAAGGTCCTTCCGACTTCGAAATGATTTGGTCGATGTAATTGAAAAATTCAACTAGAGTTTAGCCCGACACTCCTCACTCTTTCCCGTCCCTTTCCTGCCTTGCCCCCGGTACACAATAAGATACTTTCATTATAGAGAGTGGCTTTCCATGGCCTGAGACCAAAGAAAGCATTTATTGTACGGGCCAGTGCTAGGCGGATTGGAGACGGTCAATAAATACTTGTTGAATTGAATTGTGGAGAATTCATTGTAACCACATCACAAAGCACTGTTAGTATATATGCTGAACGAGTGTGGAGAAATCGCTGTATTACATAGGGAACCATGATGATTTGCCCCAGAATGTGTATCCAGATTTGCATCTTCTCTGAATTACCATACAAGATTCTTATTATTTCAGGCAGTTTTCACCAATCTGAAAATACAAACAGGGGGAGCTAGCTGCTTAGTCTTTTGCTTATTCTCCACTTGATTTAAAAGCATTTAAAGTTTTTTCTAATGTTTTCTATTGCATCCAAATACAGATGAGTAGCATATTAAATCTAACGTTTTCATTCTGTGGGAGTATCAATATTCTTTGAATAGCTAGCCATCTTTTAAGGTAGCTTTTTCATATTAAAACATTTGATAGCTTCATTTTTAAAAAAAAAATGGGCATAAAGGGCAATTTATTTAAACCTTTCAGGTTTTTTTTTTTTTTTTTTTGAAACAGAAGACAGAGTCTTGCTCTGTCGCTCAGGCTGGAGTGCAGTGGTGAGATCTTGGCTTACTGCAGCCTTTGCCTTCCAGGTTCAAGTGATCCTCCTGCCTCAGCTTCCTGAGCAACTGGGACTACAGGCATGTGCCATAAAGCATGGCTGATTTTTGTATTTTTAGTAGAGACGGAGTTTCACCATGTTGGCCAGGCTGGTCTCGAACTCCTGACAGACAATCCACCCACCTTGGCCTCCCAAAGTTCTGGGATTACAGGCATGAACCACTGTGCACCCAGCCTTTGTTTACGCTTTCAGGACTATGCCCTGGAAAAAAAATACCGAGCTGTTTAGAAAACAGCCTTTGAAATAAACAGTTTGTAATTTAAAGCCTTATTTAAGAAAATCCTTTCCGTTTATCTTAGGTGAGAACTGAAGTATCCTAAGCTGCTGGGGGTAATTAAAGTGGATAGTATGTCAGTATGTTTTTCAGCCCATCTTCACCCAGAGATAATTTCCTACTATCTGGAACCGCTAACCTACCTCCATTTGACTGATAAGGATACAAATGCCAGAGAAGTTAAATACCTCACTCAGGGATATGCCACTCATTTGTGGGAGATTAGAACTTAGTTATTGATGCCTGAGCAGCTTTCACTATTACGGGGCTTGTCCCATTGCTTAATCTTTTAAGCAGGCTGAAAATTGGAATGTTCAGTTAACATCTTTTAAGCTTATTGAAAAAAATTAAAACATTTCTGTAGTGCCTACTAAATCCCAAGCACTATTTTAAGTGCTTTTTATCTGTTACCTCATTTAATCCTCACAGCAACTCTGGGGCAAATGCTCATTTGTATTCCCATTATACAGATGAGGAAACCAATACAGAGAGAGGTTAACTTGTTGGCTTGCCTAAGGTCATGAACTAGTAAGGGGTGGAGCAGCTTTAATGCTAAGGTGAAACTCATCCAAGTAGCCCATGTAACTAATTTGAGGGCAACATTGAATGTAGAATGAACAGGACTTTTTTTTTTTTTTTGAGACAGAGCCTCTCTCTATTGCCCAGGCTGGAGTGCAGTGGCACAATCTTGGCTCACTGCAACCTCTGCCTCCCGGGTTCAGGCGATTCTCCTGCCTCAGCCTCTCTAGTAGCAGGGATTACAGGCACACGCCACCACACCTGGCTAATTTTTGTATTTTTAGTAGAGACAGAGTTTCACCATATTGGTCAGGCTTGTCTTGAACTCCTGACCTTGTGATCTGCCCGCCTTAGCCTCCCCAAAGTGCTGGAATTACAGGCATGAGCCACTGCTACTGCGGTGGCCTGAATGGGCTTCTAAAAAATAGTAACATTGTCAATTTAATCAAGTGTATTTTTAAAACAGGCTTGCAAGGAATCATGCTAAGTGGTCTAAGCAGCACAAAGAGGCATGCTCTTAACAATAGTCTAGTTGAGGAAGAAGGCAAGAGAAATTACGGAGAAAAAGTCGGCACAGTGTCTCACACCTGTAATCCCAGCACTTTGAGAGGCTGAGGTGGGTGGATCACCTGAAGTCAGGGTTCAAGACCAGCCTGGCCAATTTGGTGAAACCCCATCTGTATTAAAAATAAAAAACATTAGCCAGCCATGGTGGTGGGCACCTGTAATCCCAGCTACTCTGGAGGCTGAGGCAGGAAAATCGCTTGAACTTGGGAGGCGGAGATTGCAGTGAGCCAAGATTGCACTCTAGCCTAGGCAATAAGAGTGAAACTCTGTCTCAAAAATATATATATATTACAGAGAAAGAAACATGAGAAACTACCTAGCAAATGTTTGATGAAGAGTATTAGGGTCTTTTTTTTTTTTTTTTTTTTTGCAAGGAGAACTGCAGTATTGGGGTCTTTAGAGACAGAAGAGAAGACTACTTAGATCATCTGACAAACCTAAAATAAAACCCAGCCTTTCCACTGCTGTGATGGGTCTTCCCTGGACGCCAGAGTAGGAGCAGAGAAATACTGAGGGAGGGGAAGATGACCTGTCCCAGTTAGGGACAGAAGGAATGTACCCAGGTCCATGTCTGTTTCCCTCTGGACTCATTTCCTCCTTAGAGTCGCATCCTGTTGATTCCCACTGACCCAAGAAGTGTCCTGCTCAATTGCTGAGGCAGGATACAACTTCCACAGTAGGGATTTCTGGTGGCTGGGCTAGCTGTCACACTAGTTGTGCTTAGTTACCATGTTTGAAGGTCCCACTTGGTTATGTTGTGGACATTCAAGTTCCCCACTTGAATCTTCTGCTCTGTCTCCTCCTTTTTTCCCAGGAATGGCTTCAGTCACATAGTGACCCTCTGGTGAAAACTGGGCAGTAGATGAGGCTGTTCCTGAGTGATTTTTTTTTTTTTTTTTCTTTTGAGACAGAGTTTCGCTCTTGTTGCCCAGGCTGAAGTGCAATGGTGCAATCTCGGTTCACTGGAACCTCCGCCTCCTGGGTTCAAGTGATTTTCCTGCCCCAGCCTCCCAAGTAGCTGGGATTATAGGCGAATGCTACCACGCCTGGCTAGTTCTTTGTCTTTTTAGTAGAGACAGGATTTCTCCATATTGGTCAGGCTGGTCTTGAACTCCCAGCCTCAGATGATCCACTCTCCTCGGCCTCCCAAAGTGCTGGGATTATAGGTATGAGCCTGGCCGTGATTTTCTTTTTTGAGACAGAGTCTCCCTCTGTTGCACAGGCTGGAGTGCAGTGGCGTGATCTCGGCTCACTGAAACCTCCACTTCCCGGATTCAAGCTATTCTTCTGCCTCAGCCTCCCAAGTAGCTGAGATTGCAGGCACACACCACCATGCCCAGCTAATTTTTGTATTTTTAGTAGAGACAGTGTTTCACATGTTGGCCAGGCTGGTCTTGAACTCCTGAACTCAGTGTATCCACCACCTTGGCCTCCCAACATGCTGAGATGACAGGCGTGAGCCACTGTGCTCAGCCTCTCAGTTCTTTATATAGTGGGATAAGCGTAGCTAGCTCCTGAGATTGTTATGTGGTCAAGTGAAATGCTTAATACCCGGTACCTAGAAAGCACTCAGTAAATGTTGGCTCTTACTATTATACCTACGAGAGGGTTCTGAACAGCAGTAAGTGGCAAGTGGCATTTTAGCTTAGCTTTGAAGGATAAGTAGGACTTGAAAAGGCAGAGAGGACTGAGGAGGAAGCCCCAGATATGGAGTGTGATGTGGAGAAAGAATGGCAGTCAAAATACAAGGCATATGTAGGAAATACTGAGGAGAGTGCTTTTGTTGGATAGGGAAGGTTTATGGGGGGGATTGATGGGAAAAGAAGCTTGAGGGGAAGTTGGGACCCGGCACTGGAGAGTATTGACTGCAAGACTATAGAGTTTTAGAAAGAATAATCTGAGAGGTGGATTGTGGGAGAGTAGGGAGAAAATGAAGGCAGGGAACCAAAGAAACGAAGCTGGACTTCATGGAGTAGATAGATTAAGTATGGCTTGTAATCCCAGTACTTTGGGAGGCCAAAGCAGGTGGCTCACTTGAGGCCTGGAGTTTGAGACTAGCCTGGCCAACATGGTGAAACCCTGTCTCTACTAAAAATACAAAAATGAGCTGGGCATGGTGGTATGTGACTGTAATCACAACTACTCAGGATGCTGAGGCCATAGAATCGCTTGAACCCGGGAGGCGGAGTTGCAGTGAGCTGAGATCATGCACTCCAGTCTGGGCAACAGAGCAAGACTCTGTTTCAAAAAAAAAAAAAAAAAAAAGATAATTTTTGTGCTGTTATATGTACGTGATCCCTTTCCACCAAAGTTAAGAATATGTTTAATGAGCACCATATAACTGAAAATGCTTTTGCTGATTTAAATCTCTTGGTTTAACTCATCATGATAAAGCAATTGAATGGTCTGTTTCTTTTTTTTTTTTTTTTTTGAGACGGAGTTTCACTCTTGTTACCCAGGCTGGAGTGCAATGGCATGATCTCGGCTCACCACAACCTCCACCTCCTGGGTTCAAGCGATTCTCCTGCCTCAGACTCCCAATAGCTGGGACTACAGGCTCGCACCACCACACCCAGCTAATTTTTGTATTTTTAGTAGAGACAGGGTTTCACCATGTTGACCAGGATGGTCTCAATCTCTTGACCTCATGATCCACCTACCTCAGCCTCCCAAAGTGTTGGGATTACAGGCATGAGCCACCACGACCAGCCTGAATGGTCTGTTTCTAAAGCTTCAATTTGATGCTCAGTTTTGATGGCTGTAGAGGTGAAAAAAGTTACTTCACAAAGATTTGTAGTGTCAGTTCTGCTTAGTAACTTTGATCCAACCCGTCAACCATGCTAAATTTTTATTGTTGAAATTCAAAGAGTATATTTCTATTTTCCATTACTTTAAATCACCTGTTCTTACAAATGAATTAGGCAGTGCCATTTTATATCTTTAACAAATAGGCTTAAGACCCACCTGAAATTCTTAATTAGAAAGATTTTTAAACAGGTTAGAAAATATTTCCAAGTTTCTCAGGCTGGAGTGCAGTGGTGCAATTTCTGTTCACTGCCACCTCCACCTCCCGGGTTCAAGTGATTCTTCTGCCTCAGCCTCCCAAGTAGCTGGGACTACAGGCATGCGCCACTACGCCAGCTAATTTTTGTATTACTAATAGAGATGAGATTTCACCATGTTGGCCAGGCTCATCTCAAACTCCTGACCTCGTGATCCACCCACCTTGGCCTCCCGAAGTGCTGGGATTACAGGTGTAAGCCACCATGCCCAGCATTTCTTTCCCCCCAGACAGGGCCTTGCTGTCACCCAGGCTGGAGTGCAGTGGTGTGATCATAGCTGATTGCAGTCTCAAGCTTCTGGTCTCAGTTCTCCCACCTCAGCCTCCTGAGGAGCTGTGACTGTGGACGGTCCCCATGCCCAGCTCATTTTTTTCTTTTTCGTAGAAACTGGGTCCTCTGTGTTGCCGAGGCTGCTCTCAAACTCCTGGCCTCAAGCAATCCTCCTGCCTCAGCCTCCAAAGGGCTGGAATTATAGGCATGAGCCACATCTGCCTACAAGAGTCTTAAAGCTGCTTGTCTCTTTTATGAGAGTAGTATTAGTTAAAGCTAGATTTTTTTTTTTTTTTTTTTTTTTTTGAGACAGAGTTTTGCTGTGTCGCCAAGCTGGAGTACAGTGGCATCGTCTTGGCTCACTGCAACCTCCATCTCCCACATTCAAGTGATTCTTCTGCCTTAGCGTCCCAAGTAGCTGAGACTAAAGTCATGCCACCATGCCCAGCTAATTTATATATATATATATATATATATATATTTTTTTTTTTTTTTTTTTTTTTTTTTGAGACGGAGTTTCACTCTTGTTACCCAGGCTGGAGTGCAATGGCGCAATCTCGGCTCACTGCAACCTCCGCCTCCTGGGTTCAGGCAATTCTCCTGCCTCAGCCTCCTGAGCAGCTGGGATTACAGGCATGCACCACCATGCCCAGCTAATTTTTTGTATTTTTAGTAGAGACGGGGTTTCACCATGTTGACCAGGATGGTCTCGATCTCTTGACCTCGTGATCCACCCGCCTCGGCCTCCCAAAGTGCTGGGATTACAGGCTTGAGCCACCGCGCCCGGCTTAATTTTTATATTTTTAATAGAAACAGGGTTTTACCATGTTGGCCAGGATAGTCTCAATCTCCTGACCTCATGATCCTCCTGCCTCAGCCTCCCAAAGTGCTGGGATTACAGGTGTGAGCCACACCCAGCCAAAGCTAGATTTTAAAATCCATTATTTCACATAACTGGTCTCAGATAAACCAGGCTACATCACAGTGTCTAAAATGAACAACACCTGTGACAGGTCAGCACAGACTAAGTAAGGGTATTAGTGTCAATTTGTATGTTAAATATGGCTTAATTTCTCTCACTTTTAAGATACAAACATTCTAATATTTTTTTGTATCCCTTCAGGATTATCTTGTACTTTGGAAACCACAATTTAGACTGGCCAAGGCGCCTATAAAAGTAGCAAAAATAGCTAGATGGTACAAAAGTGGTCCCAGGGCTTCAAATTTGGTGGAATATTGACTCCACTAGGCAGCCCCCTGCTACTGACCAAACGTAAGCCTCAGTTATGTCATCTGTAAAATGGCAGTTTACAATTTGGCTGACCTGCTAGGGCTGTTGTGGGGACAAAAGAGGACGGTACATGTACCACTTTAAGCCTGGCACCTGGCACCCTGCTAACATTCAGCTGTCTCTGGGCCAGGCACCATCAGTTCTCCGCTTCATAAGCTGCCGTCCACCTGCAGGTAAATCACTCTGACTCCAAGCAAACACCCTAAGGGTGGAGTCTGCTTGTTTGAATCCTGTGTTTGAGGTTTCTGTTTGCCAATCTTGATACATGATGTGACAGTAGAGACTATTTTTTTCCTCAGTTTTTCAGGATCATTATTTTTTTGAGACAGAATTTAACTCTTGTCACCCAGGCAGGGAGTGGAGTAGCGCAATCTCGGCTCACTGCAACCTAAGCCTCCCGGGTTCAAGCGATTCTCCTGTCTCAGCCTCCCGAGTAGCGAGGATTACAGGCATCTGCCACCACGCCTGGCTAATTTTTGTATTTTTAGGAGAGGTGGGGTTTCACCATTTTGGGCAGGCTGGTCTTGAACTCCTGACCTCAGGTGATCTGCCCATCTTGGCCTCCCAAAGTGCTGGGATTACAGGTGTGAGCCACCGCGCCTAGCCTCAGGAGCATTCTTATAGTGCCTTGATGTGCTGCCTCTCATGAAGTATTAGCAGCACAGGTCACTTTTCATAAAGGTACATACTAATTTTTTTTTAATACTTCAGGAATAGTACAGAAACACATCATAAAACGTCTCCCAGGATTTAAAGGCAAGCGCAGACCCTGTTTGGATCAAATCAGTTCCTGGAGCTTGAATGATGACCGCTGAATCACGAGAAGCCACGGGTCTCTCCCCACAGGCTGCACAGGAGAAGGATGGTATTGTAATAGTGAAGGTGGAAGAGGAAGATGAGGAAGACCACATGTGGGGGCAGGATTCCAGCCAACAGGACACGCCTCCTCCAGACCCAGAGATATTCCGCCAACGCTTCAGACGCTTCTGTTACCAGAACACTTTCGGGCCCCGAGAGGCTCTCAGTCGGCTGAAGGAACTTTGTCATCAGTGGCTGCGGCCAGAAGTAAACACTAAGGAGCAGATCCTGGAGCTGCTGGTGCTGGAGCAGTTCCTTTCCATCCTGCCTAAGGAGCTCCAGGTCTGGCTGCAGGAATACCGCCCCGACAGTGGAGAGGAGGCCGTGACCCTTCTAGAAGACCTGGAGCTTGATTTATCAGGACAGCAGGTAAAAACAGGTGAAACCTATTACTACATGTGAGCAGGGCACGGATGTTGAAGCTGGAGCCAGGAGAAGTATTAACAGTCTTTAGGTGATTAGGTGGTTACCCTGTCTGAAAAAGGTTCTGGCCTTCTCCTCCCTCCATCTACCTGCATACAGTCTGTTTTTAAATATTTTAAATTTCTATTTACAAAGTGATTTACGCACAAGCCCAACCTATTTTTGTCTTCAGGTCCCAGGTCAAGTTCATGGACCTGAGATGCTCGCAAGGGGGATAGTGCCTCTGGATCCAGTTCAGGAGTCCTCGAGTTTTGACATTCATCACGAGGCCACCCAGTCCCACTTCAAACAGTCCTCTCGGAAACCTCGCCTCTTACAGTCGCGAGGTAAGAAGCAAGATTTCATTTGGGGAAAGAGAAGTGATTCAGGATGAGAGTCCTCTCTGTGCTGCTGAGTGCCTGTAATGAAGAAGCATGCCTGGCCTAGGCAACATAGCAAGATACTATCTCTACAAAAAATAGAAAAAATTGCCAGGTCTGGTGGCACACACCTGTGGTCCCAGCTACTCAGGAGGCTGAGGTGAGAGGATTGATTGAGCCCAGGAGGTTGAGGCTGCAATGAGCTGTAATCATGCCACTGATCACCCAACCTGGGCAACAGAGCAAAGACCCTGTCTCAAAAGCTACTTACAGAAAAGAATGAGGCTGGATGTGGCGGCTCATACTCATAATCTCAGCACTTTGGGAAGCTGAGGCGGGTGGGTCACTTGAGGTCAGGAGTTCGAGACCCAGCCTGGCCAACATGGTGAAACCCTGTCTCTACTAAAAATATGAAAATTAGCCAGGCATGGATGGCATGTGCCTGTAATTTCAGCTACTCGGGAGGCTGAGGCAGGAGAGTCACTTGAACCCAGGAGGTAGAGGTTGCAGTGAGCCAAGATTGCACCATTGTACTCTAGCCTGGGTGAGAGAGCAAGACTCTGTCTTTAAAAAATTGATTAATTAGTTAATTAAAAATTTTAAAAAACAGTCCAGGCGCGGTGGCTCATGCCTGTAATCCCAGCACTTTGGGAGGTGAGGTGAGTGGATCACCTGAGTGGGGAGTTCAAGACCAGCCTAACAACATGGAGAAACCCATCTCTACTAAAAATACAGAATTAGCCAGGTGTGGTGACAGGTGCCTGTAATCCCAGCTACTCCGGAGGCTGAGGCAGGAGAATCACTTGAACCCAGGAGATGGAGGTTGCAGTGAGCTAAGATTGCGTCATTGCCCTCCAGCCTGGGAAATAAGAGTGAAACTCTGTCTCAAAAAAAAAAAAAACTTACACAGAGGTAAGAAGACCTCCTTACTTCCCTGCCTTTCTGGATATTGCTACTAAAGTGTTATTTTTTGTTGTTGTTGTTTTTCTGGATTTCATTGAGACAGGGTCACACTCTGTCATCCAGGCTGGAGTGCGGTGACATGATCATAGTTCACTGCAGTCTTGACCCATTGGGCTCAAGCCATCTTCCCACCTCAGTTGCTACTAAATATTTTAAAGCTGGGTTGTGTTTCCCATAAGTGTAGGCATCAGTGGGATTCTCATATCCTGGTATCATTCCTTGGACTGGACAAAATTAGGAGCCAGACTTGAGTCATGGGTTGAATGGACCCACTTCTACAGCTGAGAATAGGAACCTGGGTTCTCATCCTGGCTCTGCCACTCTTAACTGGGAATGTGACAATGGGCAAGTCATTTGCACTCTCAGGGACTCATTTTCCCTTTCTTTAAAATAAAAGGATTGGATCAGGTGATAGGACCCTTTTATGACTCCTGCTCAAGAGTAGAGGTCTTGGGAAAACTGAGGCCTGTGTTCTCTTGTTTGTGTTGTCTGGAATTCTCTATTTGGTACCTAAACACTGAACAGTGAACATGCTGGTGCAGGAAGGAACGTGCCCCAAGACCTTCTTTGAGCAAAGCTCAGAGCAAAGCTAATTTACTTACAGCTCCTTTCTCCTTCCCCAGCTCTTCCTGCCACCCACATTCCTGCACCCCCTCATGAGGGGAGTCCCAGAGACCAGGCAATGGCATCTGCACTATTCACAGCAGATTCCCAGGTGAGCTGTGGCCCCTCTGCCCTCCTGAGTCCCCAGCGTCTGCCTCTGTTCCTGAGCTCTCTTTGTGGTCTCCACACAGGCTCTGGATGCCCCTGCTCTCAAAGAAGTCCCAACCCTGTCTCTTCCTTTTAGTGTCTTTCTACCACAAACTCCCCTCTGCCCCCAGGCTCTGGCCACCTTTTCCCTTCCAGCATTCTATGGCTTTGCAGCCACCTCTGTTCCTGACTCCAGGTTTTTGGGCAATGGGATCATTCCTGAGTTTGGAGCGGGAAATGACTGTGTTTGTCTCCTGTTATTTCAGGCAATGGTGAAGATTGAGGACATGGCCGTGTCCCTCATTCTGGAGGAATGGGGATGTCAGAATCTGGCTCGGAGGAATCTCAGTAGGGACAACAGGCAGGAAAATTATGGGAGCGCGTTTCCCCAGGGTAAGACAGATGCAGGCTTACTGTCTGATAAGATGGTTTTGCCTTTGCCAGGCACAGTGGATCACACCTGTAACCCAAGTACTTTGGGAGGCCAAGGCAGACGGTTCATGAGGTCAAGAGTTCAAGACCAACCTGGCCAACATGGTGAAACCCCATCTCTACTGAAAATACAAAAATTAGCTGGGCATGGTGGCACACATCTATAATTCCAGCTACTCGGGAGGCTGAGGCAGGAGAATCTCCTGAACCTGGAAGGTGGAGGTTGCAGTGAACCAAGATCACGCCACTGCACTCCAGCCTGGGCAACAGAGCGAGACTGTCTCCAAAAAAAAGAAAAGAAAAGGCCGGGCGCGGTGGCTCAAGCCTGTAATCCCAGCACTTTGGGAGGCCGAGGCGGGTGGATCACGAGGTCAAGAGATCGAGACCATCCTGGTCAACATGGTAAAACCCCGTCTCTACTAAAAATACAAAAAATTAGCTGGGCATGGTGGTACGTGCCTGTAATCCCAGCTACTCAGGAGGCTGAGGCAGGAGAATTGCCTGAGCCTAGGAGGCGGAGGTTGCGGTGAGCCGAGATCATGCCATTGCACTCCAGCCTGGGTAACAAGAGCGAAACTCCGTCTCAAAAAAAAAAAAAAGAAAAAGATGTTTTGCCTCTTTGTGTGTTAGCTGTAGGAGCTCTGATGTGTTCAGTTGAATGTTGATAAAGCCTTAGAGACTACCTAGACCTATACCCTTTTTTAAACCAGAGAGTGAGAACATTTGTGTTCATTTAACTCCAAAAGCATGGTATTGTGACACTGATTCCAGATGGGTTTTTTATGGCTAGGTAGTTTTTGCTCTTTAAAATCAGAAATAATTGTGTTCTGAGACCACTCATTTGCCTGAGAGGCAGCTCTGCTGCATTCCCATGGATTACAATTTAGGTGGCTCTGTCAGGGGAATATCTCTTTCCTAGCAGAGATGCCAATACACTGCTTTGTGTAGTTCTACAACTTGCACCCGGACTGTCCTTGTAATCAGGATTCCCAGCTTCTAAACTTAATGGTGATTTTAAGAGCTCTGAGTCCTGGATGTGTAGTAAGAATGAGGAAGTTCAACAGGCATTAGCCAGATAAGACAAGGTGACACTGTTAGCAGACATTTTCATTTGGCTCTACTAGATAGTAACCCTTCAGGACAGTGCTGCAAAGAGGCCCTCACATAAGTTCAGTAATAAACAGGTCCATAGCAAGACTTCTACCTGGGAGGGCAAAGGGAATTTGAATAAACCGTGAACATGAAGGATGTTACTAATGAGACTTCGAGTTCTATTTTCAATCATAGGCATAAATGGGGCTTATAAATTCTCTTGGTACTTGCTCTTTGTACTAGATGAATTTTTTCTTTCCTTTTTTTTTTTTTTTTTGAGACAGTCTTGCTGTTTCCCAGTGCAGTGGTGCAATTATAACTCACTGCAGCCTCAACCTTCCAGGCTCAAGCCATCTTCCCACCTCAGCCTCCAGAGTAGCTGGGACTACAGTCATGCATCACCATGCCCAGCTAACTTTTGCATTTCTTGTCATGTTGCCCAGGCTGGTCTCAAACCCTTAGGCTAAAGCGATCCATTTGTCTCTGCCTCCCAGAGTTCTGGGATTCACAGGCATGAGCCATAATACCCGGCCTTCAGTATTAATTTCAGTTTCTTTTCAGTTCTCAGTTATTCTGTGTCAGTCAGTGAAGGGTTTAATTATGTTTACTAATGCTATAACCACTTTTTTTTTTTTTTTTACCTACCCCTCTGTTAATTTGAGCACTGTCAGCTCTGTGCTCCTCTCCCTGATGGAGAGAGACTATTTCCTATGTCTGAAGGTTCCTGTAGCCTGCCATGTTCAAAACAAGTTCCTTGGCTAGGCACAGTGGCTCACACCTGTAATTCCAGCACTTAAGGGGGCTGAGGCAGGAGGATCACTTGAAGCCAGGAGTTAAGGACCATCATGGGGAATATAGAAAGACCACTGTCTTCACAAAAAATTTTAGCCAGGCAGGGTGGTGCAGGCCTGCAGTCCCAGCTACTTGGGAGCCTGAGACAGGAGAATCACTTGAGCCCAGGAGATTGAGGCTGCAGTGAGCTGTGTTCAGGGCACTATACTCCAGCCTGGGTGACAGAGCAAAACCCTGTCTCCAAAACAAAAAACCAAGTCCTTGTTTGCCTGCTAATCATCAACTTGTTGATGGAAAACTCACAGAATTGGAGAAATACTTTTTTAAAAAACTGTGTTCCTTTGTTTCTGCTAATACTACTAATCATTTTCTATGAAAGACCAGTTCTTTTTTTTAAACTTATGAATACTTGTTAGAAATGGAACATGATCTCTTTTTTTTTTTTTTGAGACGAAGTTTTGCTCTTGTTGCCCAGGCTGTAGTGCAGTGGCACAATCTCAGCTTACTGCAACCTCTGACTCCCAGGTTCAATCGATTCTCCTGCTTTAGCCTCCCATGTAGCTGGGATTACAGGCCTGAGCCACCACGCCTGGCTAATTTTTTGTATTTTTAGTAGAGACGGGGTTTCACCATGTTGGCCAGGTTGGTCTCAAACTCCTGACCTCAGGTGATCCACCTGCCTCGGCCTCCCAAAGTCCTGGGATTACAGGCTTGAGCCACCACACCTAGTCATAATATTTTAAATGTATACATATGCCTTCCAATTAATTATCAGGTGATCCAGTAATAGAACTGTGACCTCTGAAGGCTCCTGCTTGGCATCCCTTTCCTCTTCCTGTAACTTGTTCTCTTCCCTCTGCTAATTCCCTGTGTCTGTTTCTTCCCATCCTCTCCCCAGGCTCCTTCTGTTGTCAGTTTCCCCTTACTCTCCACTCTTTGCTGTCTCATCTTCCAAATTTTTGTTGCAAAACTGGAACAACAGATTTCCCTGTTGTCCCAGTTTTTCCCCTTTTCTCCTATTTAATCTCCAATTAATATTGTAAAGTCAGGCTGGACGCAATCACTCATGCCTGTAATCCCAACACTTTTGGGAGGCCGAGGCACTCAGGTCACCTGAGGCCAGGAGTTTGAGAGCAGCCTGGCCAACATGATGAAACCGAAACCGCATGTCTACTAAAAAATATAAAAATTGGCCAGTGTGGTGGCTCACACCTATAATCCCAGCACTTTGGGAGGCCAAAGCAGATAGATCATGAGGTCAGGAGTTCAAGACCAGCCTGGCTAACATAGTGAAACCCTGTCTGTACTAAAAATACAAAAAATTAGCCGGGTGTGGGGGTGGCCACCTGTAGTCTCAGCTACTCTAGAGGCTGAGGCAGAATCGCTTGAACCCCAGAGGCAGAGGTTGCAGTGAGCTGAGATCGCTCCACTGCACTCTAGTCCGGGTGACAACATGAGATTCTGTCTCAAAAAAAAAAAAAAAAATTAGCTGGGCGTGGTGGCGTGCACCTGTAGTCCGGCTACCCAGGAGGCTGAGGCAGAAGAAGTGCTCAAACCCAGGAGGCAGAGGTTGTAGTGAACCGAGATCACGCCATTGCACTTCAACCTGGGCAACAGAGCAAGACTCTGTCTCGAATGAAAATAAAAATAGGGCCGGGCACGGTGGCTCAAGCCTGTAATCCCAGCACTTTGGGAGGCCGAGGCGGGTGGATCACGAGGTCAAGAGATCGAGACCATCCGGGTCAACATGGTGAAACCCCATCTCTACTAAAAATACAAGAAATTAGCTGGGCATGGTGGTGCATGCCTGTAATTCCAGCTACTCAGGAGGTTGAGGCAGGAGAATTGCCTGAACCCAGGAGGCGGAGGTTGCGGTGAGCCGAGATCGCGCCATTGCACTCCAGCCTGGGTAACAAGAGCGAAACTCCGTCTCAAAAAAAAAAAAAAAAAGAAAAAAAGAAAAAAAAAAAAAAAAAAGAAAAGAAAAATAATGCGAAGTCATTTTGTAGCCATGTAGAAGCTTCCCAGGAAACTGTCACTTGATCCACCTGTATATTCAAAAGAAAAAGGTGCGATATGAATTTTCTATTTGTTGTATCAGGTAGTGAAAACAGGAATGAGAACGAGGAGTCAACCTCAAAGGCCGAAACCGTGGAAGACTCGGCATCACACGGGGAGACAGCCGGAAGATTCCAGAAAGAGTTTGGAGAGAAACATGACCAGGAGAGCAAAACAGGAGAAAGACAGCAGAAGAACTCTGAGGAGAAAACCGGGAAAGAGAAGAGAGATTCAGGGCCAGCTACAGGAAGGGACAAAAGAACCACCACAGGAGAGAGAGGCCCAAGGGAGAAGGGGAAAGGATTGGGAAGAAGCTTCAGCCTGAGCTCCAACTTCACCACCCCTGAAGAAATTCCCACAGGAACAAAGTCTCACAGATGTGATGAATGTGGTAAATGCTTTACAAGAAGTTCAAGCCTTATCCGCCATAAAATAATCCACACTGGAGAAAAGCCCTATGAATGTAGTGAGTGTGGGAAAGCCTTCAGTCTTAACTCCAACCTTGTCCTACATCAGAGGATCCACACGGGAGAGAAACCTCATGAATGTAACGAGTGTGGGAAGGCCTTCAGTCACAGTTCAAATCTCATCCTCCATCAGCGCATCCACTCTGGAGAGAAACCTTATGAATGTAACGAATGTGGGAAGGCCTTCAGCCAGAGCTCAGACCTCACCAAACATCAGAGAATCCACACGGGGGAGAAACCCTATGAATGTAGTGAATGTGGAAAAGCTTTCAACCGAAACTCATACCTGATTTTGCATCGGAGAATTCACACTCGAGAAAAGCCCTACAAGTGCACTAAGTGTGGCAAGGCCTTTACCCGCAGCTCCACGCTCACTCTGCATCACAGAATCCACGCCAGAGAGAGAGCCTCTGAGTACAGCCCAGCCTCCCTTGATGCGTTTGGCGCCTTCCTGAAAAGTTGTGTGTAAAGCAAGAATTTGCCATGAAGCCATTTCCCCCTTTTGTTTCTAAAATTATTTCAGAGATGTGTGCCCATAGAGGGAAAAAGAAATACAGCCTCCACGGATTAGAAAACAAAAATCACACTTAAGGATCCTTCTGGTCACATCAGCAGTGTTCTGCCTTTGTGTAGTAGTTGAGCATATAATCCTTCCACACAGTCCCTGCAGGGAAAAGCTTATGTGATGGATAATCCACGTGAGATTTCCATACAAGATAAAAGCACACGCATAGTAAAATGTCAAGCTTTTTCAAGGTAACGAGGATACCTTTAAGGCACTCTTTGACTCCGGCAACCACAACGTAATAGTTAAAAGATCAAGATTGGCTCCACGAACATGATACGGAGGTTAAGATGCTACTTACTGCAAACAAGCCCTACTTTGGCCAACATCTTGCTTATTTCTCAAAAAAGAGGAACAGTGAAAACAAAAATGACATGGGGACATGCTGCTCAAGCTAGTTATGTATATGATAAGTTACATATATGATCACTGGTAGCCTACCAAAGCTATAGAAATCTAGGACTGTGCTAGTCAGTATCAAACCAAAGATTTCTATCTCTTCCTGCAAGAGAGGGTATGTGCACCAGTCTACAGTTCCAAAGGACTGCAACAAATGTAGATGGTTCTATCCTCATCCCTGAGATCAATTCTACTGAAATGGCAACAACAACTCAAAATACTTCTCTCCCTTCTTGAAATCCCTAAAGCACTAGAGCACTCCCAAATGCATTTCTCTGCAAGTTAGCACTTGATTGTATACTGTCTTTTAATCCTTCATTGTTTCATGTATGAAGTTTTTAATCACCCCACCCCAAAAAAATGATTCGGTTGTCAAGGGATATATTTCTGTCCCTGCCAGCACAGTGCTGGACATAGTGAGTGCTGAAAACCTAAGAAGCACTCATTAAGACTGACTTCTAACAGGACTTCTATGTGTGTGATAAAGGCCTGTGAATCGTGAGTCCCTGAAATACAGTAGCCTGGCCTAGGTTCTAAAGAGGACCTTTGTAGCCACAAGGCATGCTAAACCTCGAGGGTCTGATGCTATTTTTGTTCCAAATATAAACGAAAGGCACTGGTTAGCCGCCTGCATAGACTTTCTAAACACAGATCACTGAGTGAATACCATGGAATGTCAGAAGTGACTCTACCATCGTCATCTTAAAGAAGAAAAATAACACTGACTAAGGTCATTTTTTTTTTTAATCTCCTTATGTGGCGAAGCTCTTAGAATTGTTTTAGCTTCTGAACAGTGTAATGATTTGGGGATTTTCTGAATCATTTGTAACTTAGATACTGGAGCTCAGAAGATGTGATTTTTATTGCCTTTCAGAAAAAGGAATGTGGTAAAGAGCATTTTTTTCCACACTTTTCCAGTAACTGCAAAAGCATTAGTTGTTAACTGGCAATTACTAAATGCATTTTGTTGCTCTGAGAAGCTCTCCACTGTACTGAGATGTGTCTGGCTGTGTCATCATGATGCACAGTGACTTTTCTGTTTCTCATCACTAGAGATCGAGGTGAAGTTATGAAACTTTCATTGGTCCCATCGTCTGTTCAGAGGGTGCAACTGCCTACCTAGAAGCTGATGGCAGAGACTGTTTCACACACAGGAAACCCATGTATTGTGGGCTGTGTAGGTAGTCATCTGCACTCAAGTAGGACAAGGGTCCTACCCAAGGGTAGGACAGCCCTGCAGAAACTTAGAAACATAAGCTGAGAACAAACCTCAAGACTATCAGTGTGACCTCCCCATAACAAGAGAACCCCATATACAGTTTGAGACTTTCACTTAAGAAACTTAAACTAAAACTGTATTCTTGAGTCTTTCACTGATCAACGGCTGACATCCATGGGTCCAAATGGTTTTATGTGGTGCCAACTAAGTGGGAGCTAAAATTGTGCACAGTGGCCGTTCTTTGGCCTCCCCTTGACTTTATGACTTAAATCAACCACAACTACTTATAGCTTCTAAGCAGTTTCATCAATGTTACTCGGGAAAACATGTTGCAAGTCAACCAGTCACCAGGATATTTCTACCCATGCAATGGAGGAAAAACCTGTTACTCCAGAAGAGTATATTTAAGCAACTTTTTATGGTAAAGTGGAGGTAGAAAATGTATTAAGGATTTTCTTCAAAGAATAAGCCACAACAATGGTTGTGTGGAAAACTGCTGGTGCTTTTGAGCAAGGACTTTTGCCCTCTAGAAGGCAACCGAGGCCGGATGCCGTGGCTAACACCTGTAATCCCAGCACTTTGGGAGGCCAAGGTGGGTGGATCACCTGAGGTTAGGAGTTTGAGACCAGCCTGGTCAACATAGTCAAATCCCGTCTCTACTAAAAATACAAAAATTAGCTGGGCATGGTAGCAGGCACATGTAATCCCAGGTACTTAGGAGGCTAAGGCAGGAGAATCACTTGAACCCAGGAGGCAGAGGTTGCAGTGAGCCAAGATTGTGCCATTATACTCCAGCCTGAGTGACAAGCAAAACTCTGGCTCCAAAAAAAAAAAAAAAAAAAGGCAACTGCAAGTGAGGTGTGGAACTCCAGGCAACAATCCAAACACTGACCTTGTTTTTTAAGAGGGAAAGGACTTTGGTCATGTTTACATTGGCTTTTTTTCCTTTCAGCCACAGGTATACGCTGATACGATTTGGCCATCATTTTTGGGTTTTGTTTTTGAATGGAAAATGTGAGCTGTGCCCTCACATTTAATTCCATTTCATTGGGACATCTTCCTGACTTTGTTGGATAGCTGCCACTGGGATTGCTTCAGATCTTCAGCACGTGCTCTCCTTGAAGTAGCTATTTGAAGATGTGTTTTCTGAAGAAAAGAGGCTACAGCTGTTTATTAAAACCACTTGCAGTGCATTCATTTATCAGATGCTCAGTGCAAAGTGTAATTGGGTCGTGGTCAAAAAATGTAACATCTCATTGGCGTTCGAGATAGTCATTCAAAAGTTTTTGGCTGGCTGAAGTTAACAGTTGAAACACCCTCTGGTTAACCATTAGCATGCTAGTTGCCCTAATGGAAATTTTTGAAGAGTTTCTCAATATATACTCTGCCCTTGCCAGGAGGAGAAGTAAAATCTTCAGGTTGTGGCGTATTTGTTTCTGCTCCAGCCTGGAAGGCAAGGCTAAAACCTGAGAATATTGATGTATGAGACATCTTGATATTAAGGCACTTAATATTAAAGGCATAAAAGTGAAACTGCTAAATACGTGTAGAGAGATTGACGTGTGATACGTGGGACAGTTCATATAGACGTCAGATAATTTATTCCAGAAAGGAACCTCTTGAATGTGATGAATATGGCAAAGCCTTTAATCACATCTCAGCCCTTAGCATCAGAAAGCCTACACTGTAAATAAACTTTATGAATATTATGTGTGAGGAAAACTTTCATGTATAGCACTCATTTCTTCAGACAAAATGAATTATATCGTTATGTTCCAGTCATGTGATTAATTTGAGAAACACTGCAAGAGGGAGCTCAATCGTGGCCCAGCACGGTGGCTCACACCCATAATCCCAGCACTTTGGGAGGCCGAGGCGGGTGTATCACGAGGTCGGTAGTTCGAGACCAGTCTGGCCAACAAGGTGTGAAACCCTGTCTCTACTAGAAATTAAAAAAAAATTAGCCGGGTGTGGTGGCGCATACCTGTAGTCCTAGCTACTCGGGAGGCTGAGGCAGGAGAATCGCTTGAACCTGGGAGATGGAGGTTCCAGTGAGCTATCAAGCCACTGCACTCCAGCCTGGGTGACAAGAGTGAGACTCCATATCAAAAAACAAAAAAGGGAACTCAGTCTTAACTGCAGAGGATCTACAGACTGAAAAGAAAATGTGGGGAAATGCTTTAAAAAAAATAGCAAAATGTGCGACTTCTTTAAAAAATTGTTAATGTTGGGTACTTCCATATATTTTATATGACCATAATGTCTGTCTGTGTTTTGTACCTTCAGTCTCTGTTACTGTTCTGTGTGTTATCTGTAAGCAGATTCTGTGTTTTATTTTAGTCTGTTTGACAGAACATATCACTCAAAAATGAAGTTTCGGAGCAAACTGAAGTAACCAGTGTGGTTGTAGACAGAAAGTCAGCTCACAGAACAAAGCAGCGGGGAGATGAAGGGAAAAGTTTCATAGTTCGGTGCTTATCAAATCAAGATATTGGTACATTTGTGAGGAAAGACAGGATAATGGGGCACTAAAATGGAACTCCTTTAAACATGCAGCATTTTGAGTTTTTCTTCAAAACCAAGAGGTTGACCTCTGAACTGTCAGGTCACCATTGCACACAAAGGGGTGGATTCTCTTGTCAGCAGAGGGTCTTCTCCATGAAGTGAGAGTGGGAAGTGTACAGGAATGGCCAAGTGGGACTGCTTAAGCTGACCAGGTTCTTTAAACTGAACTCATGCTTTCCCACTGACTCACTCTTAAATCCTTATGCTTAGAAAATTGGGGAAAGCACTGGCTGGGCTCGGTGGCACACACCTGTAATCCCAGCATTTTGGGAGGCTTTGGCAGGCGGGTCACTTGAGGTCAGGAGTTCGAGACAAGCCTGGCCAATATGGTGAAACCCCGTCTCTACTAAAAATACAAAAATTAGCCGGGCATGGTGGTGAGCACCTGTAATCCCAGTTACTTGGGAGGCTGAGACAGGAGAATCGTTTGAACCAGGGAGGCAGAGGTAGCAGTGAGCCCAGGGTGTACCACTGCCCTCCAGCCTGGACAACAGAGTGAGACTCTGTCTCAAAAAAAAAAAGGGAAAGAAAATTGGGGATAGGAGAACAGCAATGGGCATTCTCCAGAATTGGATGCAGGTGCATTGTCGTGGCATTGCAGGAAGTCTGCAGTTTTGCAGTATTCCCGTTGCTGTGTTCCTGTGTTCACTGCTCCCACTTTTCTTCCCCTGGTCTATGATGATTAGGAGAAAGGGTTGTGAAGAATCATTGCTGTGAAAGAATTGTTTTTGAATTTCTATCCTAGAGTCAGTCACCTTTATTCCAGGTAGTCGTGCTGATCTGCTTATCCAAAGCCAGCTAACCAAGTTCATCCTCATGGAAGACTATGAGTTGGAGTAACAGTACTAAAATACACTCAAACAGTGACAGCAATACTTGCCAGGGGGGCCATATTTCTCTGTCCTACTCTGAGCAACTTCTCGGAATTACTTCTGAGGGGGGCTGGGGTTTTCCCATCTGGGAAATTGAGTGAAGGTCTGCAGATTGTTAAATATAGAATCAGAGAAAAAGAAAAGTCAGTGGTATAAATAGATCATTTTGTAGAACTTAGGATAGATTTTTATTTCAACTACTGGAGAATTTAATAAAAAGCATTATTGTTTGAAAAGTTTTTCTAACATAGATTTAGGTTGTGTTTTTAGAATGGACACTACTGTACATTTAAAATCAATTATTTTGCTATTCAGATTAATGTTTTATTATCTGAAAATGAAATTATCTGTTTTACTTTTCAAAGCTTTGTGAAACAAACTTGAAGTTATAGGGAGGTAAGCCATCTCCAATTCTGCAGGTCAAACAGAAGTTTGGGAAATATTTTAACATCCCACAATACAGAATGTCTTAACATGAGAATTGAATTTCATAATGTCTGGTTCCATTTAATAGCAAACACCACCCCAATCTCATGTTTTCCTGTTATCCTAAAACAATGGAAGGAAACCAGGTGTTTGGTAAACTTCTAAATCATGGTCTGCGATGATTTTAATCTGAGATTCTCGCCTCCACTTACTAAAGAGTCATGACTCAATTCAAATTGCACAGTAATCAGTAAAGTGAATATATCTTTAAAATGGAATTTTCTCCCTTCAGCAAGCACTCATTAAGCAGTGAGGCTGAGTATATTAAAATACAAAGAAAGATCTGTGTGAGTGATTGAAAGGTGATACTAAAAAACTTAAGATTTCATTCCAGTTTCAGGTTTGGGTTTTAAGTTCCTTTGGTCCAGGAAAGGGTCCAGGCAGCCACAGTTGCCCTAAATCACTGTCATTAAGTCTTCCAGCAAGGTTAAGTGCGTTATGGAAGGAAAAGGGGGAAGTGGACTGTAACAGCTTCGAACTCCTGGGCTGAGGAAGAGTACTTAGGAGGCCTGAGGAGGGGCCAAGGAAAGGCTGTTGGGATGTGTTAGGGTTGGTACCTGAGGGCCTTCCCCTCACTTCAACCAGGGAAGAGCATCTGGCTGCTTTTTAAATTTTTTGTCTGCCCTAGCAAAGTCAAAGCATGTTAGATTAGAGATGCTTCTGCTGATTGCAAGGGTTCTTATTTGAAAATACATGAGGGGGGTGGGGTGGGAGGAGGCAGATTGTGGTTATGCAGGAAAATCTTGTTCTAAAAATACGAGTTTGGGAGTAAGGGGTGGGATATCCAAGCAGAATCAGTAATTATTTTAAAATGAGCATATGTATTTTTATTAACTTTTAGTTAAATATAGATTTTACAGTGAGGTGAGCATAAGCCTAGATCTATATAGAGAGCTAACTCAGGCATTGTCTTGTTTTTTGTAGACTATTAAAAACAACCTGTCCTGTTTTGTCAATTCCCAGCTTCTTTTAGAATAAATTAGACCAAAAGAAGAAATGTACTTGTCTCTGTATACCCGCAGAATGAAGTTACCGTTGTTAAAAACTGGATTTTTCATTTTACTAGGTTCCGAAGAGTCCAGATGCTTGGTAGATGTTCGGTATGTGATTTTTAAAATTGAGTTTGTTCACTTAAAGTTCTCCTTAACATTTCTAGGAAGACTTCTTTCAATAAATAATGGAATCTTAGAGGAAAAGTGGGTTTTTAAAAGCTAAGAAACTCCTCCACTAAAAGTAATCGTTGGAAACCTCGATTGAGGTCTAAAGTTTTAATCCTAAGAGAAATGGCAGCATAATGAAACATGTACACATTTATAGTCAGTGGTCCATCTTAGGAGGCCAGTGGTGTCTGATAAATACTAGAGTAGTGAGGTCGGGGAAGGAAATTGTGGGGATTTGTAATAAATATTCTCTTTATGTTGTTTCTCTTCTGAGTCATGGTAAAAACAATAAATTATCATCTCTAGGTGGCAGTGCTTGTGCTGGTTTTTGTTTGTTTGTTTGCTTGTTTTTTAAATCATCCTTGGTTACATAAATACACATTGGGAGCAAAGAAAAGTATTTCAAAGTTAAAAGAACTGGAACTGCGACCCACAAACAAAATTGTCACGCAAAACTCTCTGTTGACTTTGTAAACCAAAAATAAAATTCAAAGACCTCCCAGTCCTCGGAATGAACCCCTCCTCTCAGCCAAGGACATTCCAAAGTTAACCTGAAAAACGAGTTCAGGCCATGCTGGGAAGTGAGAGCCAGATATGCCTCATTATACCATCTTCCCTTATGGAATTACTGGTACAACAGACTCTTTAAGACTGATGGACATGGTTGGGAACAGTGGCTCACTCATAATCCCAGCACTTTGGGGAGCCAAGGTGGGTGGATCACCTGAGGTCAGGAGTTCAAGACCAGCCTGGCCAACATGGTGAAATCCCATCAATAGTAAAAATACAAAAATTATTCAGGTATAACTTTAAGACTGGATGTGGGAAAAAAAAAAAAAAAAAAGAAAAGAAAAATACAAAAATAAGCCAGGCATGGTGGCGGGTACTTGTAATCCCAGCTACTTGGGAGGCTAAGGCAGAAGAATCACTTGAATCTGGGAGGCAGAGATTGCAGTGAGTCGATATGGCGTCACTGCATTCCAATCACGTGACAGAGTGAAACTCTCAAAAAAAAAAAAAAAGACTGATGGACATTTACAATCTGTTCTCTCTGACGCCTGTCACCTGGAGGCATCATATGCATGATAAAAGCTTGGTCACCACTGCCCCTTATGGTAACCCAGACATTCCTTTCTACTAATAATAACTCTGAGTTTTATGCTGTCGTCCACACTGGAGTGCAGTAGCACAATCTCAGCTCATTGCAACCTCTGCTCCTGGATCTAGTGACTTCACCTCAGCCTACTGAGTAGCTGGGACTACAGGGCCAGCTAATTTTTCTTTTTTTTTTTTTTAATTTTTTTGTAGAGATGGGGTTTCACCTTGCTGCCCAGGCTGGTCTCCAGAGTTGCTCCGTGGAGTGATTGATAACTTCCTTGCAGCCGGGTTTGCACACATCAGAGGAGCTGTGGAGCAAGTGCTGCCCCGTGATGCTTGCACAGAGCTGGTTGGTGCAGTGACTTGAGTAAAAAGAGTTGGGAGGATGTGAGATATGTACAGGAGGCATCCAAACACATCTATTAACTGTTTTTATTCACACTCTGACAATGTGTGATTTTTTTTTTTCCCCTTTTGTGGACAACGGGGTCTCGCTGTATTGTCCAGGCAGGTCTCGAACTCCTGGGCTCAAGCTATCCTCCTGCCTCTGCTTCCCTAAGAGCTGGCATTACAGATGTGAGCCACAGCGCCTGGCGACAATGTGTGATTTTTTTTCCCACACCAATGCTCTAAGTCTCTGGACACCGACTGGGTGCCCTACAATTCAATTCAATTCTGACACTGCCTGGAGCTGTTGCAGACCCCATAGGTTGTGGGCTCAGTTCCTCAAGACTGCCCCCATTTCAGACTCTAGTCTTAAGTTCTGAGTTTTCACCTGTGCTCCTGACCGGCTATAAGTCAAGGGCTTCCACAACCCTCTCCTCAGGCTCAGGTTTGATAATTTGCTAGGATGCCTCATAGATCTCATATATATTTTTATTATATATGCACACACACACATCTTTCTTGACATAGGGTCTCTGTCACCCAGGCTGGAGTGTAGTGGTCCAGTCGTAGCTTACTGTGGCCTGAAACTCCTGAGTTCAAGCAATCCTCCTGCCTCAGCCTCCTGAGTAGCTGGGGCCACAGGGACACACCACCAGGCCCAGGTATTTTTTTTTTTTTTTTTTGCATTTTTTGTAGAGACAGTCTGGCTATTTTCCAGGCTACTCTTGAACTCTTGGGCTCAAGTGATCTGCCTGTCTTGGCCTCACAGGTGTGAGCCGCCACACCCAGCCTTATTTTTGTTTGTTTTAATAATTATTTTTCCTTTTATAGAGATGGGGTAGGGGTCTCCCTATGTTGTCCAGGCTGGTTTTGAACTTCTGTCTGTCCTCAAGCAGCCCTCCCACCTTGGCCTCCCAAAGTGCTGGGATTACAGGCGTAAGCCACTATGCTGGACCCAGAACTGGATTTTATTTGTATTTATTTTCTTTATTTAGACAGGGTCTCAGACTGTTGTTCAGGCTGGAACGCAGTGGCACGATCATGGCTCACTGCAGCCTCAACCTCCTGGACTCAAGCAATCCTCCTATCTCAGCCTTAGCTGAGACTACAGGCATGCACCACTACACACACACACACACCACTACGCATACACACATATATTTATTTATATATATATTTATAATAAATATATTAAATATATATATATATATATATATATATATATATATATATATATATATATATTTTGGTAGAGACAGGGTCTTGTTATGTTACCCAGGCTGCTGGTCTCACATTCCTAGGCCTCAAGCAATCCTCCCACCTCAACTTCCCAAAGTGCTGGGATT